GGGCGGAGGAGGCGACGGGGGCGGCGGCGATGGGGACGGCGGTGGCGAGGGTGGAGGCGAAGGCGGCGGCGGCAGCGGCGGCGGCGGCGGCGGCGGCGGGAAGGGCGGCGGCGGCGAGGGCGGCGGTGGCGGCGGTGGCGGCGGCGGCGAGGGCGGCGGCGGCGAGGGCGGCGGCGGCGGTGGCGGCGAGGGCGGCGGCGGCGAGGGCGGCGGCGGCGGTGGCGGCGAGGGTGGAGGTGGCGGCGGCGGTGGCGGCGGCGAAGGCGGCGGCGGCGAGGGTGGAGGTGGCGGCGGCGGCGGTGAGGGCGGCGGCGATGGCGGCGGCGATGGCGGCGGCAAGACGAGCCGCGAGAGGAGGCCTCGCAACTTCTCTGGGGCAGCGGGCAGAGAGCGAGTCGCGCCTTGTGAGACGAGTCTCTTTGCGCCGTGCCTGGCTCGTCCGGCTGCACGACGCACGTCGGGTCGGGCCGCGATCAGCTCCGCCACCGGCTCCTGCGCCAACCAGACGCCGATGGCGCACACCACGCCGAGCGTCAGAGCCGCCCGGCCGGCGGCGTTTGATGCGATGCGGCGGCAGAGGAGACCGCATAGTAGGATCGCAGCGACGATGGCGGCACCGTGCACGGACTGCTGCGTGGTATTCATGTTTATTGCGTAATTCTCGGCGAGGACGATGCGAGGCGATCGGCGGTGGATCACGGTGAGGCGGGATAGAGCGGTCGCCACGAGTGCGGCGGCGGCGACCCAGAAGCAGCGCCGATGGCGGCTGGCGAGGTGCAGGAGGAGGAGCGCGGTGACGCCTGCGGCTCCTCGTATGGCGACAGTAGCGTCCACGTCGGGCACCTCGGCCTCCTCCTGACGCAACATGTACATGCGGACGAATGCAGGCTTGACCCCGTTGGGCCACGGTGACTAGGGAAGGGGAAGCCAAAGTTCAGCAACGTATTCACGGGCGTCTCAGCAATTGGCCGGTCGACAAATTTTACCGCCGACGGTTCAAATATTGGACGTTCGTTCTTTGCTCGCCAAAAACGGCGAAGCGAGTCCGGGCGGGGCGCTACTGCGCCTCGCCCCGGGCAGCGCCCAGAGGCGCCGCGGGTTTCTGTGCCGGCGGCTGGCCTCTGCCGGGCGTCCCGCCCTGTCGTCGGCGCCGTGTGGCTCGTGCGGAAGCTGGACGAGGTCCTGTCCTTCCGCGTTGTGGTTGGTGCAGTTTGTGTGTGGCGTTCTCTGTCCACGACTACACCTCCTTCTTCATTTCTTGGCAGGGGCTATATGCCGTATCGGGGAGAGGCCGAACCGTGGGGGCACCTCTCTCGTGCACGACGAATGGGCGCAGTCCCACTGCCCTTTATCAGCTTGCTTGTTAGCGCTCACGACGTTGTCATACGGGTGCTTTGGCAGCTTTCCAATTCGCTGTTGATTTGCGATTTGGGCGCTAGCTCTGGGGCGGCCGTGCGAGCCAGATCCCAGGCAGCGCCGAGGCACCAATGGGCCTGAAGTCTCGACGGGAGGCAGTCGATTATCGGGCGGGAGGGCTCCAGTGTGGCGGCCACCTGGTCCCTCTCGCAGGGGAGCCGAACGTCTTTCCTCTCTGTCCTTCGACCATCCATGTACTCCGCGATGGTCAACATCCTTCTTCCTTGCACCGTGTCTTGCGGCCTTCGGTTCAAGTGGCTTTCACCTATGCCCGGCCGGTTTCACTTGGGGTCAAGCGCCGCAGCTGGGGTTGCGCGAGTCCAAGCATGGCCACCACGGCTAGGCATCCTGATCCTCGTACGCCTGACGTGTGTGTGCTCTACGCTGTAGCCTCGCTCAGTAACATGCCTGGATACATATCCCAACTCTGTTGCAACATCCCGCAAGTTACTGCAGGCTTGACCCCGTTGGGCCACGGTGACTAGGGAAGGGGAAGCAGAGTTCAGCAACGTATTCACGGGCGTCTCAGCAATTGGCCGGTCGACAAATTTTACCGCCGACGGTCAAATATTGGACGTTCGTTCTTTGCTCGCCAAAAACGGCGAAGCGAGTCCGGGCGGGGCGCTACTGCGCCTCGCCCCGGGCAGCGCCCAGAGGCGCCGCGGGTTTCTCCCACCCGCCACCCCCCGCGCTATTAGTCCCATGTCCTTGCTCGGCTGCTCTGTTTTGATCTGTGGCGTCGTGTCGGGGCGTGCCCCTCCTTAGCACCGCAGAGGGGGGGTTGCGCGAGTCCAAGCATGGCCACCACGGCTAGGCATCCTGATCCTCGTACTACCGAGCCAGTGGCGGCAAACAAACAAAACGAGCGAGAGAAAGTACCCGGGTATAAATAAATTAAATGTTGCTGCGAGTTGCCGCGCTCTCGCCCTCTCCGCAGGTCACCGCGCTCCTCGCGCCGCGCTGCTGCCTGATGAGCGGAATCCCCAGCCTGCCGGAGGCCGCCGCCAGCCAGCTCGCAGCGGTGTCCGGCGACGCCTCCTCGGCACAGGAGCTCGCGAGCTGCAAGATTGGCGGCTGCTGCGGGCGGGACACGCCGTTGTTGCCAGCCGACGTGGTGGCCGCGCGCCTCCCTTTTCTTCCCGACTGGGCGCTCTCGGATGACGGCAAGGCCATCTCGCGATCGTTCGTCGCCAAGAATTGGGGCGCGGCGATGGCCTTCATCAACGCGGCGAGCGAGGTCTGCGAGGACGAGGGCCACCATCCGGATCTGCACCTCACAAACTGGCGGGACGTACGAGTGGTGCTGTCGACCCACGCGGTCGGCGGCTTGACTCTCCCCGACCTTGTCCTCGCCGCGAAGCTCGACACGGTCGAGGTGGAGTACTCGCCAAAGTGGCTCAAGCAGAGGCAGGCCCAGGCGGCTGCTGCAGCAGGCAGCTGAGGACCTCTGCCGCGCGGAGGGTCCCGGAGTGCCGTGCCAGCCGCCCGCCGCTCCCTCCCTCTCGCTCGCCGGCGCGAGCGATCTCTCTCGGGTCTCTCTCTCTCTCTCTCTCTCTCTCTCTCTCTCTCTCTCTCTCTCTCTCTCTCTCTCTCTCTCTCTCTCTCTCTCTCAGAGTCTCTACGAGTGTAGTCTGAGGTGGTCAGGTGTGAGTTGAGTTGCGCTCTGGTGGGGCGTGGGAACCGAAAGCTCGGGGCTCGACGACTCAGACACTGTGCTCAGGGGCGGTCGGACGCCTGTGCGCTGTGGCCTGACAGGCTGAGCGACGGGGGCGACGTGCTGAGACCCCCGACGTAGTGCAAAAGAGCAACCCGCTCTCGTCTAAGTTTTCGAGCAACGCATCACAAAAATAGCACACGTGACAACCGCACGCGCGACGTGGGCGCACCGTCGCGCAGCGCCGTGACGCCACCCCCCAGGCGTCGACAGGTGCTGACATTCATGTACAGCGGTACGCACACTCTCGAACGCACCTGAGAGCCTATCGCACATGTGTGACGCCCGCGCCGTCACTTCCACTCGACGCCAACCGACTCGGCCAGCGAGCGCATCGAGTCGTTCAGCTTGCCGAGCGGCGCGAATAGCCCGCCACCCCCCTCCCTCTTGAGCTCCTCCCGCAGTCCGCGCAGCCCCTCCCGCACCGGCAGCAGGTCGTCGTCGACCAGCATCTCGTTGAGGGCGTCGAGCGGCTCGGCCACCTGGTCGAGGTACGCCCTTACGATCTCGAGCGCGCGCACGCCGTCGCCCATCGCCGAGCAGCAGCACGCGATGTTGTACTGCGCAATCAGCTTCTGCTGCTGCGTTGCGAACCGGGCCTCGCCCCACTCTCTCGGGTTTGGCGGCGCAGTCGCTGACCCAGCCTGTCCCGCGTTCTTTACGCGCTTATAGTCCACCCCCGCGCCGGGCAGCGTCTGCGCAAGCTCAAACATGCGGATCGCGCGCTCGTATTCGCGAGCGCGGTACAGCTCGAAGCCGCGCTCCTCCGCCTCGGCGTAATCCGAAGGCGGCGCGCCCGCGGGCGGCGGCGCCTCCTGAGCGACGGCGGCAACGGCGCGCGGTGCCACGTGGTGCGGGGTCAAGGAAGGACCGACGACCCACGACGCCGAGCTCGCGACCAGGGCGAGCATTTTGCAGAGGTCGGAAGAGAATTCGCGGCGGAGGCGGGTCGTGCTTGAGCATTTCGAAGAGACAGCAGGAGAGAGAACGATGAGAGTGGGAAGAACGCGAGGTGGCATGAAGGTCGCTGCGAGAATTGGTGAGAAACTGCGGAGAGAGATAGGAAGTGGTAGACGCCCGAGGCGCGAGGGTGGGCGACGGCTAGCACCACACTCCTCTCCTTAAAATCCCTGTGTGGTGGCGGCGTGCCGTCCTCCCATCCCTCCCTTGGGTTGTCTGTTTTCTTTCTTTCTGAGCATTTCGCACCACACCCCTCTCCTTAAAATCCCTGTGTGGTGGCGGCGTGCCGTCCTCCCATCCCTCCCTTGGGTTGTCCGTTTTCTTTCTTTCTTTCTTTGAGCATTCAGGTGGGGCCCCGGCAATTTCCCACCCCTCGTTTGGCGTGTCCCCTTTTACTCATTTGTGTCTTGTGAGCCTGTTTGTGTCTGTGTGTCGCTCGTGCGTGTCGTCATCAATCTGTCTCGCGTCCAGAGAGAGAGATTTAGAAAACCAACCAGAAATCACACGACTCTCACAGTGATTTGGGCTCGGCAGCTTGTCAGCCCTCAGCCGAAGCTGGGGCCGGTCCCGTAGCCGAGAGAGCCCGCGCCGATGAGTTCGACGCGGTCGGGGGGCCTTGCGGAGAGGCCAGCGAGATGGCGATCGCTGTACTTCATGGCGCCCTCAAAGTGGGGCTGGCTGACAAGCCAGAGGTCGATACTCTGGACGACCCATAGGATGCCACGAATGCCGGAAGGAGAGGGAGGCGAGGCCAGAGGCAGGCTCAGCTGCTCTCGGGTGATCTCGCTTTGGTGGCCGAAGGACCCGATGGTCCTGTCACATTCGCGTTCCGAGTCGTGGGGGTAGAAAAAATCGAGTAGAAATCGAGTCAGCACTTCCTTGTAGTACAGCGGACCGCCAGGCTCGCCGGCAGCATCCGCAGGGAGGCAGCATATGAGGCACCAGTCTTCTGGAGAGCTCAACAGCTGCGGCCGCGATGGTAGAGTCGGCCGCGGTTCGAGCGAGCAGCTTTTGGCTGCGGGATCGAATCGCGGAAGGCTCATGCCCTCGCGGAGCGACGCGGGTCGAGGGAGGGCAGGCACCAACAGGCCAAGCAGCGTTTTGTTACACAGACTGCATCTGCTCTCGCTTCTCTTCGAGAGAGTAGTGTGTAGACAATAAGACAATAGACATGAACGTATGTGCACGCGGGTTCGCGGGCGACGGCCGACGCGGCCAGCAACGCCCAAGCGCAACGGAAGTCGGACAAGGAGGAAGGTCCAACTCTCCACGGTGCATCTGCATGTCCAGGCTCCAGCTCGAGCTCCACGTTAGGTAGGGAGAGAGAGCGCACATACCCCATCAGTACAATCTGTCGCCTGCCCCACAAGGCGTCATCTCAATGCTGTTGTACACCGTCGAGGTCTCATGCATTCATTCGGGAGTTTCTTCTGCCTTGGCAACCCCTCGGCCCTCTGTGATCCTCATGCAGCTGCACGGAAAATGCTCGCGCGCGCTCAGCAGGCACCGCCGATAGAGCTCCGGGTGGGTGCCCTCACGTCCCCGGAGGGTGCACTCGCACGAAAAGAGCGTGAAGCGGCAAGTCTCAGGAAGCACATCGCTGAAGGCGTGGTGGTCGCTGTGGGTGAGCGCTGGGGTTTGCACTCGTAGCTGCCGCAGTTCTGCGAGACTGCTAGAGCAGCCACCCCGAAGCGCGTCTGCAAAGCTGCCGGCCTGCTGATAGGACTCGTAATCTCTCGCGTGGGGACACAGCAGGAGGGACAGGGCGGTGGTGGCAGGCAAGTGGCCGCGTGCGACCACAGTGCAGAAGGCCTGAAATGCCGGGGCGGAGCCGTGGTAGATACGCAGCATGGAGAGTGGTGCGGCAGCCTTGAGAGTCTTGAGCGCTTTCAGAAACAGCGGCAGGGTTGGGCACCCCTCCGCCATGTGCGCACGCGTCCACGGCCCCGACAAAGTGACTCCGGACAACTTGATGATGAACGAGCTCGCCAGTACTCCGGCCATGGCGGCTACTTCAAACATTGTGCGGCAAGTGATGTGGCAGGTCTCGTTTGAGTCAGGCTGGTGCGCAGCGAAATGGCAGACAAGGCGTCTGGTCGACGCGTAGAGGATACAGCCTTCATCGTGCGAGTGGCTCACGACTGCAGTCGTTGCCCAGGTGGTGCTAGTCCGGGCGAGGACTGCCAGTCTCGTGGCGAGTGCGCTGAGCGAAAAGGCGGCGTCGCAACGGGCTACGGCGTCCAAGCTGATTAATGCAGGCTGGCTCAGCATGGCGCGCAGGTCAAGCACTTTGGAGGCAGCAAGTGATCGCCGTAGGGATTGGAGGTCGAGCAACGCGCCACGGTAATGAGCGAGGCGAGAGTGTGGCAGTCTGCTGGCAACGAGGTCAGCAATCTTGAGCAAAGCCTCCACCGACGGCGAATCAGGCAGCTCAATGGGGACGTGCGCCTGATGCTCTGGCTGGGCCAGCCAAGTCCACACCTCGTCAAGGAGTCTGCGCTCGCTGCTGGCGAGAGCCAGCAGAGACAGCATGTCAGCCGCCCGCCGACACACAGGCAATTAGCACGTCTGCAGGCAGCGCCTCCATACCTCTGGCCTTTGGCGCCGCGTCGAGGTCCGCGTCGGGCTCGTCGGGGTCCGCGTCGAGGAAAGCCCCCCCACCGCGCGGCGAAGCCATCGTCGTCGCCGATTTCGCGCCAACTTAGAAGCGGAAAAACAAAAAAACGAGGAAGCCAGGGATAACTGAGAGAGATCTGGCGAGGTCACACACACACACACACACACACATGCACAGACACACAGCCCCTTCCCCTCCCCCCTCAAGGGCGAGGACACGCACAGGCCGCACCTCTAGTGAGGCCCGCATAGTATGTGGGAGACTCGTGCCGCCGCCCCTGCCACCCCTGTGTCAGTGTGCCTGTGGTAGGAGAGACTGCCAGCGACAAGCTGGAGGCAGGTCGCTAGACTGAGATGAGACCGCCAGTGGATGTGGGAGCCCACCGTGCACCGCGCTGCGAGCCTGTCGTGTCCCTTGTCAGGAGCAGGAGAGCCCCACCTGTCCCCCTGATCGTCCTTCCAAAATCCTGCTCGTGCAGGTGGGGACCCTGTCCTCGTCCCATCCCTCGTTTGGCGTGTCTGTTTTCTTTCTTACTTTAGATCTGCAGAGGTACTTCCACCCTGCGGTGGGAAACAGCTGAACGCTGCTTGCAAGGCTCGCCCGAGCACGGCCAGACTAACCCCGAGAGGCGTAAAAGAAAGAAAGAAAAACATACGCATAAATAAATAAATAAAACGGGCACGCCAAACGAGGGGTGGGAGAAGGACAGGGTCCCCACCTGCACGAGCAGGATCTTGTAAAAACAGAAGAAAAGAAAGAAAGAAAACAGACAAGCCAAGGGAGGGATGGGAGGACGGCACGCCGCCACCAAAGAAAGAAAGAAAACACACAACCCAAGGGAGGGATGGGAGAACGGCACGCCGCCACCACACAGGGATTTTAAGGAGAGGAGTGTGGTGCGCTAGCCGTCGCCCACCCTGGGGAGTCTGCCTCTTCGTATCTCTTTTCGCAGTCTCTCGCCGCTTCTCGCTGCAACCTTCATGCCACCTCGCGGCCGTCCCACTCTCGTCGGTCTCTCCCTTGTCACTTCCTCCTCTGTCGCGTCGTTCTCTTCTGCCTCGTCCTGCGACGCCGCCGCCTGCCGGTCCCTTGTTCTCGCGGCTTCTTTCGCCTTGCGCAACTCCGTCCTCCTCGCGGCGTATCCTGGCCCCTCGAGTCTATCAAGCTCCCCTCGCGCAAGGACCACATTTCTGCCACCAGACCCAAGGGATGGGCGGCCCGGAACATTTTTTATGTCGAGACCAACTCGGAGACTTGCGCGTTGCAACGCCGGAGGCCGCGCCCACCTCATGACCTACGCCGCGGGCGACCGCGTCGTCGTCTCTCCGAACTGTCGCGCCTCGCGCCACATCGGCAAAGACGGAACGGTCGTGTCGGTGGGCCGGCAGATTGAGATCCAGCTCTACAGCGACGAGCTCGTCAAGGTCAACCGGAACGAGCTGCACAAGGCATCGCCGGTGTCCTCGCCGCGCAACGACCAAGAGCTCGAGTTCCAGCTAGCTGAGGACAGCGTCGACTATATCTCCGAGCTCGCCGCCTCACACGCGCGCCTGCCGGGCTCGCTGAGCGAGAATCTCAACCGGCTTGCGACAGAGTGCGCCACGTCACAGTTCGCCTCCCCGCTCGGGCTCGCACCTCCCGTCGAGGCCGCTCCTGTGCGTGAGCTCAACGACGGCGCGACTGGCGGCCCGACCCTCCTCGCCAGCGGCGGCGGCCAGGAGACGGGAGGAGCGGCGTTGGGCGGCGAGGACTCGGCGGCAGAGGCCGAGCCGCCCCGCGACTCTGGCAGAGGCTTTCGAGTGGCGCAGCGCGACACGCGGCCGCTGCCTCCGGTGGCGAAGCTCGCCCGGGCGGCAGGGGCGGGAGGCGGGAGGCAGGGTAGCGGGGCGCAGCCGGCAGGGAGCGGCGGCAGCCCCGAGCCAAGTCGCAGGCGCTGGACCGCTCCCCCTCCGCCGCAGAGCAAGACCGCTTGCACCCTCCCTTGCACCCTCCCCAGCACCCTCCCCCCCTCTCCCCCCCCTCCCTCTCCCTCTCCCTCTCCCTGCCCCCCTTGAGCGCCTCTCCCCCGTGGCCCCAGGCTGCACGCCCTCGCACTCGGCCGGCCTCGCGCCTCGCGACCAGCCTCCCGCGCCTCGTTGGATGCGGCGGGCGGTCCGCAGCAGGGGGCTGAGCAGGAGCGGGCAGAGCAGGGGCAGGAGGGGGCTGAGCAGGGGCGGGGCAGGCTCGACTCCCACTCCCACGCGGCGGAGCGCCCAGCCCCGCGCGCGAGGCCGGCCCGGCGCAGCCCGGGCGGGGGCGGCGCCGGCGGCCGCCAGAGCGACAGCGAGGGCGAGGCCGTGCCTTCCCACGAGAAGAAGGAGGGCGGGCAGACGCCGGGCGAGGGGGCGTGTGGTTCCAGCAGCGGGTACAGGTCCGTAAAAGGGCGGCGAGGGGGGCGGCGAGGGGGGCGGAGGCGGAGAACTTGGGCGAGGCGTCCGGCGTAGCTACGGCTCTCCGCAAGACCAGGGCTGGGCGGTGAGCCGAGGCGGCGGGGTGAGGCGAGGCGGCGGGGTGAGCCGAGGCGGCGGGGTGAGTCTGCCGGCGGCGAGGAGGGAGGCGGCTGGCGGCGAGGAGGCAGGGGGGGGGGCGGTGGAGGAGGGGGAGGGTCGTGGCGTGCGGGCGTGCGGGCGCTTCGGCCCTGCGGCTCGCCGAGGAGGAGGGGGAGGGGGGGGAGGGGGGCCAGGGGGGGGAGGGGGGGGAGGGGAAGGGGGTGGAGGAGGAATATGAGGTGGTGGCGGAGGACGAGGGGGAGAGGGACGCGGCGTGACGACCAGAGAGCAACCTCGCCAGGCCTGCTCCTCCGCCCCACCCTCCATCGAGACCGCAAACACTTGAACCGCACACACAGGGTATACTGCC